GACAGGGACAAAATGCTAGTAAGGAATTTTATTAGAATTAAAAATTTCAGTAAATTGAATTTTACCACAAACGTATTAATTATTCCATTTATTATTATTAGTCAATCAATTTTTACCACAAACATCTTTATTAAATCGAGCTGTGCCGCCATCTAATATAACATCGACGACATACCCGTTAATGATGAGTCCCACCCAATTCAATCCTCCCACAAATATTCTTTCTAATGGTATTAATTATGCACCATCAAAATATGGAGACGTCCCAATTCAGAGTTTAACAAAATGGCGCGAAACTGTTGCTATGGTCTTAGCGAATCGGGCACCAGGCGATAGTCAAGTGATTACTGCATTGGGAGATACTCTAAAGAGTTATGGTTGGATTTCTGCCTCTCATATCTGGTATATTGGAAGAATTATTCTTTAATCATTTGAAAGGACACTATTTTGTACATGACCATTAAAATTTTTAATTCTTCCTGTAAAAAGCTATCTTCTGTCGCCACAAACATCTATACATTCAGGTATTGACTCACCCAATTCGCGATTTAGCCTAATTGGCAAGGATTATCTTAACAGTCCTTTCACGGGCTATTTTCGCGATTTGGATGCACTCCATCTAACCGAAATTTATGAGTTCGGATTGACTTTAAATAAAAATGATGAGGGAGGTCTACCGTTCTTACAGGCCTACAAACTTCTTTATGCATGGTGGTTAATCGATTGTGGCTACACGAATGAAGCGCGAAGGTATTGTAAGCTTGCTTCATTGTAATTCTGGAAAGGCAAATTGAACAATTTTTTTGAAATTTCGTGAATGTGTAGATATTGTGAATCAATAGCAAATATAGTCAAAATTTATACTAAGGGCTCGCCATATTTTCACAAGTGCTTCTTGGAACAATTGAAGGAATTAACACAACGTTTGCTTGAACATGGTGATAATGCTTCAGGGTAAGTTTTTGTCTATACTTTAATGGAGTAAAAAAATTGTTCGCACATAAATTCTAATTCTTCATTTTAAATTAGTAACAATAATGAATCTTCCTCGTGGATTTTTGCCAAGAAAATGTCCAAACCAACATTAGATTCTCTATGGGGATCTTTAGAAGGAAAATTCAACCAGTTTATCGCAGGAGATACCGCAGAAGAAAGCGAAAAGAAACCAGCCGCCATCCACTCCCAAGATACTGTCGGTCCATTTTCTCACTTCAGCGCCATTACTCAACCTACGAATTCAGCCGGTGTACCTACACGCAGTGCATCTGCAACTGAATTCCGACCACACATTGATACAGGACTCGATACAAGACGTTCTGCCACGCCAAATGCAATGCCTCAAAAACATATCACCGCCCAACAGCGTCGATCTTCGACTCCTGGTGCGGGAATGCGTGCAGTAAATTCAGTTCATGGGTTCAATGGTTTCAGCCCTACAAGCTCTGAAGGACAAGTGCCCATGACTCCCGTTCCGGAAGGGGGTAGCACTTATGTTAGTTCTGCGGATGACCGAAACAACTATTTCGGATTTTTCGGAAGGGACAGCGGTGAATATCAACGTGAACAAAATCAATTAACGGGCTCAAATAATGATATGAATTATAACAATGACAATAATTGGCAACAATCAAACAATTTCGATAACAAAAGTTCTGATAGTGGCTTTGGCAGAAATTCATTTGAAAGTGATTCCAGTAAGCAGCAACAGCAACCATCTCATGGATACAATTTCTATCAACCTTATGATACTAGTTCGAATTATAACAGTCCGTCTTGGTGGGGTTATAGAAATTCCACAGCAGAAGAAAATCACGTTACAGAAGAACAACCATCAACTGATTACGGTTCCGGAGAATTTATATCTCTAATGGGCAACACACCGTCATTTGTACCAAAAACTACATCTAATCCTGTGTCATCAAATAACAATAATATGAACTGGCAAGGTGAAGAAGATGATTTAGGTCTTGGTAATAATGCGTTCGGCGCAAAGAAAAAATCACGAGACGAAGCGGAGAATTCTCAAAAAGACAATAGTAATGATAACACTTCTGCATCTGCTTCAACTCGTGATGTTAAAGAAACTGAACAAAAACCCGAAGAAAAAAAAGGTATGTACCGAATTTGACTTTTGGTAGCGGTTAAATAATAAATTTAATTAATAATTAATATCAATTTCTTCTTGACAGACGATAATAAAGCAGGAGGCAGCTGGTTTGGAAGATGGTTTAGCAGAAAAGAAACTAATACTGGGGGTGGAAAAGTTGCAAACCTAGGAGAAGAAAGTAGCTTTTACTATGACCCAGTGCAGAAAAGATGGATCAATAAAAATGTAGGAATACTTTTAGAGCTTATTTTTTTATTATTTACTCAATATTGTTGTTTAACAAATTTTAACTTTATCATTCAGGCGCCTGACGCAACCTCTGCAAATACAGCACCCCCGCCGCCTCCTTCTCGGGCAAAAACTACATCACCGACGCGCTTAGCCGCATCAATACCTCCTCCTAGTCGAGCTTCTTTACCGCCACAAATTACCGAAAGTAGCCAAGTCACGAGTCCTCCACCTATGGCAGCTACGAATGGCGCACTTCCCCCTCCACCAACTTCTAGTAACGCTGGACGTCGATCTACCTCATCGAAACGACATCGACCACGATATGTGGATATTATGAATCAGCCACCTGCTAGCTAACAAGAAGATTAATAACTTTGAACGATTTTTTTTACATATCTCTTAAATTTTGCAAATATTCATTATATATTTATTTAATAATTTCTTTTAGAGACTTGTAAAATATTATGCAACTGGTCATGGAGATATGAAAAACAACGCGAGTATATATATTTCTATGTACCTAAGGACTATCATTGTTATCATATTTTTTGTCAATTTTGATAATATGAAGATGTTTTTGTAAATTTCAAAAGTTTTTTTTTTAGTATTTTAATAAACGATAATTTATTAATAGTTAACTTGAAAGATTCTATAATTTTATTGGCTCGATCCAAAACTGTTTTGGCAATACGTTTGTGGTAAAATTCAATTTACTGAAATTTTTAATTCTAATAAAATTCCTTACTAGCATTTTGTCCCTGTC